TCAATATTGTGGGATGTACTCTGGGATGACCTTGGGACAATGAAATTGACAAATGGGAAAAAAGACAGCCCAAAAGCTCCCCCTTCACGGCTCATTTTATATTTGAATTCTAGATCATTGGATTCAAAAGAAAATGTTCGCATTATAAAATGTAATCCTGAATCGAAGCAAGCTTTTGAAGTTTATCTTGCAATCGAACATGCAATGAACACTTATGGCCGAAATGCATCAAAGGTACCGTCTTGTATTTTGCCTTTATATTCATTTGTACAATTTCTAGTTATTACACACACACAAACTGAATTTATTTACAACTCACCGTGTCATGCATCTTTCAGTGAAGCTGGAGATTTCCCTGCTGAATCTCTTCAAAAGCATATTTTGAATCTATTAATTCTAGTTTGGCCCAAAAAAAATAATAATCAATTAATTCTAGTTTCTGCATAGTAAATTCAATTTAAAATACGTAGTCTTTGCTCTGTGCTGCTCCTGTTCTTTTTTCTTTTACTTTTAAATAATTGTTTAATGGTGGATTCTTTGGTTCACAATAAAGAATCAAGTGCATCAGTTCAATCTAACCAGTAACATTTTCTCACAAATCTATGACTTGCTGGCAACGTTATACTGGTGATGGTTTTGTAATGTGCTGGTAATACTTCACTAACGTATTGATCCCTAGCAACTAATGGTGACAATATTGCATTACCAGCGCCATAAGTGGAGAAGATGTTACACATTACTATTTACACCGGTGCACTGTAAAGAACGCCTTGTTAATATATATTCGAGTCTGTGTGGTTGTGGCCCAACTGTGTGATAAATTCCTTTTTGCAGGGAATGCTGAAGAAAATAGTGGCAAAGCCATATTCACCAGGTGCTGACAGCCCCAGTGGTGATTTTGTACCTAAAGAAGGGGTTTACCTCATGTCCCCCCAAATGATGCATGGATCAGTTCCCCTTGCTTCAACTTTTGGAAGCTGTACTAAGCAGTATGAGTGAGTGTACATTGGACATCATCAAATGCCATAATCAAGAATTGCTTCATTTGATCCTTAATTTAGGCCTACTTGCCTTCAAAGGTACTATTGTGCCTTGCTTTTCTCACAATTTCTTACTCCTTCGTATTTCTGTTTATCTTAGGGCCACGGAAACCAGCTAGTAGAAACTTGAACAAATTGTGATTTAACCTGCCGCCATTTTTATTTTTTTTTAGGCGTTTTTGCTATGGCACGCTCCCTAGTGTTTTCTTAGGTAAAATTCTTTAGAGTCTCTGCTCTAAAAATTATGAAATATACGAAGTTGTATACATCTATGTTTTAGTGTTGAAATGGCTCCAAAAAAAGAGGGGGGAGGGGGGAATGTTCTCATGTTGAAGGCTCATTCAATTAATCGCCAGGGACAGGTAGATTACTTTGATAGCATTCTTAGGCATTGGTATTGTATATTTTTTTCTCAACACCTTTGGAGATGCATGACGCGATATTGTGATGTGACGTGTAACTATTATCTATCATTGTTCACACACACATTTCTTAGTCATCAACCATTTGTAAGTGTCTAACGTGTTCATACAATTCTGATATAATGTAAGTAGAAAAATATTTTCTAGAAAGGGAATGAGAAATGCATCTATCTCATTTTCTATCTAAGTACATTTTCTGTTTCTTTTTTCAGAAAATACTTTTCTTTATACAAAACATTGCCTAATAGTATCTTAAATTTCTAGATTCATGTTACTGATTAGTGATTAATCACAGGTCGGGCTGAGCAAACCAGTTTGAACTTGCTAATGGGCATATTTGATGTCCTGAGACATGCCTTCAAGGGGCGGTTTCTTGTTAGGACACCCAACCTCGAGACCTTCCAATTCCATGGGTCCAGTGTCCCCTCATTTTTCCCGCCACTTCGCTTGAGATTTGACTCTCTAAGCATTCTTTTTATGTCCCCTCATTATTCGTGTGTGTGTGTGTGTGTGTATAGTGAGCAAAATCGTTTCACTTTGTATATATACAGTATCATATCACAGCGAGGTATATAATTGTTCTCTATTGATTTTTATTATTGATATTATAAAGAAAGGCGAAGTTATACTCGAGTTCTGTTTCAGGCCAAAAAAAAAAATCTGTATATTGCTATTGTAGTAACGATTTAAACGGTCCCCAGAAGAAGGAAGTTACTATTTTTATTTTATCTTTATTTGTATTTTAAGATGATTGTCATGATAAATCTGATGCACAAGCTGATTTCATCTAATCCACACACTCATGAAATTAGATAATTAGTTCTATGATAATAATAAATGAACGACAATTACATAAATAATTTTTCTACGTTTAGAATAATAGTTAATTAAATTTATTGTTTTCATGGTTGGATATAACGTTTTAGAGCTTGACTTGGTCGAGATAGTAAATGATTGGACGACGAGAGTGGAATCCATGCTTGACTACTCATGCAAAAGTTTTATGATAGTGATAGTGATTAAAAGGAGTCAGACTATTTAATGGGATTGTAGGATGAATCCAACCCCCTCTCTTTATCATTTCTTTCTTCTACTTCACTTCTCAATTCTTAAATCATTTATATTAAATTTAAAAGATCACGATGTAATTATTTTAAAAACTGGTTGAAGAAAATAGTAAAAGAAAGTTAAGGACCTAACGGCCGAGAGATCAAAGATAGTGATTTAGAACTGTACTTGGGTTGTTTGGTTTAAGTCTGTTTTTCATTAGTCAAAAATCAATAAATCAAAAGTTTCTGTGAGAAAAATTGGTTATTATAATAAAATTTATTTTTGGATATACATTTTAAAAGTTAGTTTGATAAATCGAAAGTACTTTTGAATACTCTTTTGCTTTTATTTATAAGGTAGAAAGAATATTTGTTTTGATTTTATTTATAAAGTATTTTCATGATTATTATGTTTGTTTTACCACTATATTCTTTTTAAATGTTAGAAATGTTATTAAATGCTAAATTATTTTATTTTTAAAATATGTATATTTAGATTATGCTCATTCTAACTATCATATTCAATGAGCTTAGTGTTGTCATTTATTATCATTACCTCGGATTGAGTAATTTGCATGCTTGTTGCCTAGTCGTTTCTTAGGCTTTTTTTTGCAAAACAAATCTTAATTCTTTGCCACTCTATCACCATCATGGTAAGCCACTGTTCTATCATAGAAAGTTATCGGGTTAGAAATTTGAATGATACTTTGCCAACAAAGAGATTGCATGATCCATTGAGTCATCAATAATCATCTTAACAATAGGGAGATCTTGTATTAGCTTTTTATCCAATAAATGTGTCCCTTTCACAAGTTTGGTTTGTTGAACATAATGGCTTTGGAATTATTACAATTATCTGAATAGTAGATAGTATTAAACAAACTATAATTGATTTAATTAATCATCTACAATTTCACAGTCTATATTATTTCATGCATATACATGCCTTAATCTTTAATAAAGTATGTATATTTAATAACAATAAAATTAAAAACTTATTGAATTTTTAAATAGAGTTACTCATATTTAAGATTTTTCTTGGATCAAATGAAAATATTGAAAGTGGTTTAAAAATAGAATTGAAAGGAATACATTATTACTAAGAAAGACATTGATTTTTATTATTTGTAACTTTTACTATACAAATATAATATACTATAGATGTTTTAAAAAATATATATGTAATAAAAATTTTAAATAACAAAATTTGATAGGTTAAATAATAAGAATAAAAAAAATGAAGTTTGATATATTGAACAGAAAATTATATAAATAATTCAATATATATTAATACTAAGATTAACATGATTAATTGTTTCGTATATAATGCACAACTTAATCGAATGTGCACACACTATCTAGAAATAGCATAGCCAAATAAAAAAAGGTTAAGGTTCAAATTTTTTTTTGCACTATTTCTCCGAGAGCGTTGAACACTGTGTCTTTTTAAGTGGGATAAAATTTTTTCCTGAATTATTTTTAAGGGAGCAAAAATACCCTTATGTCAAACTGTTGTTGGCTGCAGATATTGAATCTATCATGTGTTTACATTTGACATTTTGACCGTCAAAGTTGGCATTTTATTTGGAGAGAGCTGATTTGTTTATTTTTGGGCCTTGGGTTGCTCCTAAGATGCATGTTGTTGAAAATGATTGTTCATTGTTGAATTTTGTTAACTTTAACTTCTTTTTAGCATTATATATATATAACTTGTTTTTAGCGAGCATTTTACAATAAAATATAGAGTATAAAAGTAGGTGAGCACTAGTGATATAACATAGACAATGAGGAAAGCAAAAATGAATCATTAATGGATATATAAGATTGATAGAAGAAATTTAACTTAAATTCAAATAAGATGGAATTGTCTAATAAAATAATATAAAAAATAAGAATATTAATTTTTTAAATAAAAATTAAAATTATATGTAAAACAAAAATAAAATAAAATAATATTTAATAATTTGGATATTCTAATCAACCCCAATAAGCCTGAAAGCTTGTGAGATTAGAGCTGAGTTTAGTTATATGAATTCGTTTTATATGGTAAGATATTTTAAGTTCAACAAAATCAATCTAAATAAGCATGACTTTAAATTACCCACTCCACATTAAATATTTATAGGAGTTAGAAACATATGGTTTATATTTGGCGATAAAATTTTCTCCCATTTTATTGCTTAAATGTGAGAGAGTATATAATTGAAGTTTGTTTTTTTTTTTCCTAATTATTATTTGACTAAATCTAAGCGTGTCTCTGTAAAACTGAAGGACTTCAAATTTAATAAGAAATTAATTGTAAAGAGATAAATTCAGACAAGGAAGTTCTCTCTCAAATTGTAGAATCTGATGATGATTATTATTATTATTATTATTATTATTATTATTATTATTTTGGTGGCAAACTCCATCAGACAAATAACTGTCTCCCATGTCGTCTGAATTGCCTAGTGTTCCTAATAAGAAAAGTTGGTGACGTGGTTGAAAGGGTTTTTGGCCCAAAAATCAAAAAGCTTAAATTCATTTAAATAAAAGAAATGGTGATGGTGTCACTGTTCTTCAAAGCTTCAACACTCTGAAGCTCCCCGGTGGGAGCATCTCGCAGCTTAGTGGTGAGATTTAGTCGAATATTTGATCTCAGCAGCTTCAAATCTTGGCTCCTTGTCTTGATTTCTGTTTGGCCATATTTGGGTGATGTGGTTTGTATTTATCTATGTGAATTGGTTGCTGCAAATGAATTCATTCCGCACTGGCGAAAAGCGAAGTTTGAACTTACTTTCAAATGTATGGATGACGTTATATTCGGGACCGAGGAAAGAATGTGGACTTTCATGACTAATCATGGCAAAGGACTGGCATCTAAGAAGCACCGATACGGGTACGAGTGTCGGGTACGATACGATACGATACGCGGACACGGCTATTTTTCAAAATTTTAGGATACGGGTACGGCTATATAAATAATTAAATATTAAATATTTGAATGTTTAAAAATACAATTTCAAGATGTCTAATGCCATCATAAAATATAATACAACAAATAGTTAAGTACTTAAATACTATCAAGTGGCAAAAAATAATTATCAACTTAAAATAATTCTAATAAAAATTTTAACATAAAGAGAGTCAATAAAAATTAAAAATAAATCAATGTTTAACTCAATAACATAATCCATCTAAATAAAAAAAATTTAATAATTCAGTATTAAATTTAAAAAACTGATCAGTTGTTCTGCCTCTCTCGGTTCAGCAGTGAAGAATTGAGCAATAAATATTCATTGTCCAGCAATGCAATAATCCCAATAAATATCCATCAGGCAGCAGCACAACATTGAACAATAAAAAAGTGAAAAGCAGAAGAGATAGAGATGAGGTCAAAGACGCTGAGGCAGAGCTCAGATTGAAGCTGAATGAATTATCAAGATTGAAGCTGAAGACTGAAGACTGAAGAATGATGAGGTCGAAGACGTGAGAGTGAGGCAGCGTGCGAAGTGAGAAGTGAAAACGCGTCTGACTCAGAGCGATACAGCGGTCGACACAGGCAATGAGCGACAGAGTGGAAAACACGAGAAGGGGGTCGATTGGAGCTGAAAATCTTAGGGCATCGGGTTTCTGGAGTTGGGACTGAGTAAAAAGAGGTGAAAAATGCAGAGTTTTGCGTCAGCCCGCGTCCGACCCGCGTCAACCCGTCTCGACCCGCATCTGCCCGCGTCCGCCAGAAACTGGGAAAAGGGACGCGCCGTTCCCCCGTCCTGAACGCGTGTCCGTGTCGGATACGTATCCGATACGGACACGCCGGCCATTTTCGCGTATCGGTGCTTCTGAGACTGGCATAGATTCGGTCTATGCCACGTTCATGGTCCCCTCCGTTGATATGGAAGTTGGCGGACCATAATAGATAGGAAATCTGATATCTCCGTGCTTTTGTAGTCCTCGTGTTTCTTTCTTTTCTGATTTTTCTGCTTGGAAATATTGCCAGAATCTATGGCAATCATTATTCTGTCATGCTATATGTATTTGTTTACCACTATAAAGAAGTGAAGAGGAAAACAAAGTTACTCTGGAGTGCTATTTGAATTTTTTCCCCCATTTAGGACTTAGGAAGCAGGATCTCTCGTGAAACTATGGAAGTAAAACTTACTTGCATTTGAATTTTACGACATTAGGTTTGGTAACTCAATTAGAATGGCCGTGAACTGTTCTGATGGATATACTTTTCTAAACTTGTTTGTTAAACTACGTCACTTAAGATTCAGTATCCTGGCAGATAATACTTTTCTTGCTTTCTCTGTGTCTTTACTACTAGGGTACACATGAATCAACATGATAATATTTAATACTCTCTTTTTTTCATTAAGAAAATGTTCTAATACCTTTTGCCATCTGAATATTTTACTCATGTTCTTTGCCTTATTATGATGGTAACGGGGTCCTCTAGGTCAACTGTCCAACAAGTTCTAGAATCTGCTAGACCCTTCCCCTAATTACATTTAGCAAACTGGACTATAAGGAAGATGAAATTACTCACGATGATTTATTCCTGTTCCTGGATCTACAGATTGGTTGACATTACTTAATTTCAATAAAATTAATTTTCGTTCTTTCTTTTTAGATAGGTTTGGAACATGTAGCTAAAGTGCAATAACAATTTCTGTATCTGCAGAAACGGCTACATTTAGTTCAAGGTCTGCTGAAAATGAAAAAGTGGTATGGGGGCTTGTTGATCATTGCTCTGGCCATGATGTTGATTCTCCTGTACAGTCTGTTTGGAATGCAGCCACAGAAGTCAGTAAAACAGTCAGCTTACAGTTTCTTTAATAATCATAACCCAACTGATTCTACTGTAAGAAACAATATTACTATAAGTTCTTCAAATGTAGAAGTAAAAGGAGTACCAAAACCAACAAAAAGGCCACATTATATAGATGTTAAAGGGCTTGATGATCTTTGTAACATGAAAAACTTTTCGGAAGGAGAGTTGAAAGCAATGCTTGTGTGGACTCCCTTGTGTTCCCTGCTGTCAAGGTCAGATGCTTTACCAGAAACAGCTCAAGGAGTTAAAGAGGCTTCTGTAGCATGGAAAGAGTTGTTGTCCACAATGGAGAAGCAGAAAGCCTCTAGGATTAACAAGGTAGATGGCCCTGAAAATCAGAACTGCCCATTTTCTGTAACCGCACTTGGTAAAACTTTGGCAAGCAATGGAATCATTATTGAGCTTCCTTGTGGTCTAGTTGTAGATTCATCTGTTACACTAATTGGCATTCCTATTGGGCAAAATGGAAGCTTCCAGATTGACCTTGTGGGCCAACAAATAGAAAAAGAGCCAAATCCTCCTATAATTTTGCATTACAATGTGAGTCTGCCTGGAGAAAATTTAACTGAGGATCCATTTATAGTTCAAAATACTTGGACTAATGAACATGGGTGGGGAAAAGAGGAAAAGTGTCCAGCTCATGGTTCTGCTAACATACAAGAAGGTACAGTTGCATTTTTATAGTGAAGAGATTTCAATTTATGTGGTGTGACTAATAGTAGACCTTGTATGTATTAAAGTATATTCTGCATACAAAGAACTGATATCAAGGGTTCAAAGTATTGTTAACTAACAATGCATTGGGTAGAGTGATATCAAGGGTACAAAGAACTAATAAACATTTTTAACTCTTAAAGTATCCAATAATAATTTTTAGACACACATTCCCTATATTATGTTTGCTTGAAGTTGCAAACACCTTTGCTTCATAATTGGGCTATAGTTGTAGTAGCACCAACCTGTCTCATAAATAACAGAATAAGTAGCCAAGGTTGGAGCAGCATGATTACATAACACCAGGAAAGCAAATTTTTTACATTTTGTTATTATACTTAATAATCGTGTAAATTCTCAAGAGTTTGACTTGAAAAGAACTCTAAATCATCACTCTACGTGGTGCAGTTGATGGACTTGTGTTCTGCAATGTACAAGTTGCCAGGAGCAGCAATGAAGAGAATCAAAGTGTGGGTAAACCTGCTACTGATAGAACTGCTAACATTTCAGGGGAAAGTGCACATAGAACTGCTAATTTCCCTTTCACTGAGGGAAATCCGTTCACTGCCACATTGTGGGTGGGTTCAGAGGGATTTCATATGACTGTGAATGGAAGGCATGAAACATCTTTTGCATTTAGGGAGGTAAGGTATGGAAAAAGAACTAATTCTAAATTTTTTTAGTTGAAATCATAGAATGGCCACTTCCAACTTTGTATGGTTTTTGTGGATGTAGAAACTTGAGCCTTGGTTAGTTAACAGCGTCAAAGTGGCTGGCAATCTAAGTCTCTTATCTGCACTGGCGAAAGGCTTACCTACTACTGAAGATAATGATATTGTCATTGATCTTGAGAAACTTAAAGCTCCTTCGATCCCTGAAAAAAGGCTTGTTTTGTTAATTGGGGTATTCTCGACAGGAAATAACTTTGAAAGACGAATGGCCCTCAGGAGGTCTTGGATGCAATATGAGGCTGTACGTTCTGGAGAAGTAGCTGTCCGATTTTTCATAGGGCTTGTAAGTGATCAAATGCAGGCTTGGTAAAGTGAATATTTACGCTGAAATATTTCCTGATCTAACTTTGAAATATTCATGTTGATAGAACACAATAATATTATGCAATCCATGCAACCAACCCCACCTAGTGGGATAAAGTTTTTTGTTGCTGTCGTATTTCCTAATTTATCTTTTGTTCTAACTTTGCAATGAAGAGTCTTGTTGAAGCTCAAATCCTTCTTTCTTGGTGGTGTTTACTCCCTGCTGTCATTGAAAGAAATCTATTTGAATTTTGCTTTGTGGTGAAGAGTTTCATATGCTATCATTTATCTATGGTGTTTTCTTTATATCCCTCGTTGAGTTAATTAGGATGGAATAACTCGTGCAATTCGTAACCCCTCCTACTTGTAAGTTTGCTTCTTCACCTGTGAGGTGGGTAGCTAGGAGAGGAGTGCAAATGGTATGTTTTCTTCAAATATATGCTGAAGAATATACATAAAGAGGAAAGAGTGTGTGCAGAGGTTAAGAATTGCATCATTTATTTAGATCCTACTAAGTTTTAGAACAAAAAATCTGCGTAGACTGTGAGCAATATTCTTTCACCCAGCTAGTATGCCAAGGAGCGCTTTCGACCCAGTAATCTTTACTGTCATTGCACCTTTTCTTTGCCCTATTCACTGTAAGTGACATTTATATTTTATTTGATTGCAGCACAAGAACAATATTGTTAATGTTGAGCTGTGGAGAGAAGCTCAAGCTTTTGGAGATATCCAGTTTATGCCTTTTGTTGATTATTATGGTTTGATCACCTTCAAAACTATTGCAATATGCATTTTAGGGGTAAGAGGATAAAAATTTCATGCAATGAAAATAATGATGGTGCTAATTGTTTATAACCTATATTCTAATTGTTCTCAGACTGCTAAGATAGTAAGATACTGAAACATTCTATTCGGAATCCTTAGAAGTATCATAGTTATCATGCATGTCAATGTAAAGGAGTAAAGAAATAGTAAGGGATCACTGCCTGATGGAGAGAGGGGAAAGGAAATAATATTCAAATCTTTTTGTGATTAAAAGTTGTCTGGAATTTCAATTTTTTTTCATTAATATTGTTCATGATTTGATTTGTTTTCATGTTCGCATTTCTTTTCTTTTCCTTTTTGTTTTGTTTTTGGGATCAAAATTTATGCTCACATTCTTGTGAATGTGTTTAGCCTTTGAGGAGAAATCTACTGAGGAGCCAACCTTTCACAAAAAAAAAAAAAAAAAAAAAATTGTTATTCAACTTTAATGAATTGTTGAATGTATGGACTCGATGATTTGGCTTCACAACCGTAGGTTGCCTCCTTTTACCCCTCTTGCCCTATAATTTTTTAAGAAAATCTTAATTATCTTGCATCTAAAAATGGTTTAGATCTTTATCTCAGTACTTGGTTGGTTACCTCTCTATTTAAGATCATAACAACATCACAGGATTTGTATGCAATTTTGTGTGGGTGGGTGTGTGTTGTGGGCGGGTTGTCCTGTAGGACTTGTTTTTCAAGTCTTGTGTATTATATTTCATCTGCTTTACTTTCTGCATACTAATTAATCAATAAGATCTTCTTACTAAATTTGCAGACGAAAATCATACCTGCTAAGTACATTATGAAGACGGATGATGATGCTTTTGTTAGGATTGATGAAGTGATTTCTAACCTTAAAAGAAAGCCATCAGAGGGCCTCTTGTTTGGTCTTATATCTTTCAAATCATCACCTCACAGGGATAAAGATGGTAAATGGTACATCAGCAAGGAGGTATAAATCTCTTTGAAATGCTAAGAGTAAAACTACACAGCTGTTTCCTCCCTCAAATTCAATGTTTTCTCTTTTTTCTTAGGAATGGCCACATGATTCGTACCCTCCATGGGCGCACGGTCCTGGTTACGTTATCTCTCGAGACATAGCAAAATTCATTGTCCATGGCCATGAACAAAGAACTCTGAAGGTGAGAATTTCTTCTTTCAATTCACATTTCACTATTTGTGACAAGTGCAAAACTTCACCTAGTTTCTGAAAAGTATTGTGGATTTTTCCTTCAAAATTGTCTTCTCAAAAAGCCTGTTAACTAATATGGCCTAGCTTAATGTGAAGCTATGCGGCAATAAAGTTACCAACTGTCACTGTAACATGCCGTTATAGAACATATTCCTCAAAGCAGTCACAACACCATAGTCTCTTGGTCGTGTTTAATGGTATGTTTCAATAACATTTAGGCACTTAATGCCCACATGGATCACCTGTCTCTTTAACTTTCTCTCTCTTAATGTGAGAACCATGTCAAAGGCAGAATAGGTGCAAAACTGCTCACTCCCGGATCGGACCTCAGGTTCAAAAATTGTGTTCAAGGTCTTTCTGGGTCAGGCTTTAGATTCAGTCAGCCCTCCCCGGTTCAGTTCATATGCACCCATAAATAGAAGTGCTGGAATAAGATGTTCAAACTTGGGGGAATCAATTTAGACATGATGTATCTTTCGATGGTCAGAACATCAATTCAATCTTCATTATTTTTTCTGCATTAAAGGGGGAAAAAAAAAAGTAGATATTCGAGCTTACTGTCGTAAGGCTTTCGCATCTTCACCTGTCCATATTTTTCAATACTCAGCTCTTCAAACTGGAAGATGTTGCCATGGGGATATGGATTGAAGAGTTCAAGAAGAGTGGTAGAGAAGTCCATTACGAAAGTGACGAAAGATTTCACAATGTTGGATGTGAATCAGATTATATACTTGCCCATTATCAAAATCCTAGGATGGTGCTATGCCTTTGGGAGAAGCTGCAGAAAGAACACCAACCAGCATGCTGCGAGTAACATTCCCGCGTTTTTGTTCTTTGTTCCGAGGTTTGAGGTTAATATCTCAATCTTTAGGATATATTTTAGGTTAATATCAGATGTCAACTTATACATATTATTCTTTGATTTCTTTGTTCATCCCGGCTGTTTCACTAAAAATAATTCTGTTGAATTTGATTTGATTGTCATGAAATGTCAATCTATTTGCATCGACTAAATCGTGGGCTATTTAGAGGCTTTTGGTTCAGTTGGTTGAACAAGTTGAACCAGCATCCTGAGACCACCGTTGGTAATAAAGATCCTACACAACAGGGGTTTTCAGATTAGTCTAGGTAAGTGGTAATAATATCTCCAAGTTTCCCATGAAGCTAGGCATGGAATATTGGAATTAAAAAAAAAAATCATGGGCTTATGTTTTGCACAGTTGCACTGTTCTTTTCTTTGTGAGGATTCTATGAGTGGATAATTATTTTTTCAAGGTAAACTTTTGAATATGGTGGATTGATGAAGAGCTTTCAAATTTTTGTTGGGACTGTTAATATGTAAACTTTTTCAAAAGCTCCCTTTTTGGCTAAAACGGGTAAGGTTACCCTTTGGATGACACGTGAGAGGCTCCACCTTTTGAAAGAGGGAAAATGGGAAAGGACTTATGGCCACTTCTTTTATTTATTTATTTATTTATTTATTTATTTTAATGTGAATTGAAGGGCATCCATGGCTGCTCTGTATGGAACTATTTTAATCGCATGTGATACGTAGCTTCCTTAGCATAAAGTCACCCTTATGGCTATGGCAATCATGTTAGGCATTGAGACAAATCGACTTGTCTTCCCTTTTGCCTTTCGTTCTCTTGTTTGAACGAATAAAAGCGATTACTAAGTGGACAAATGCTGGCCAAATAAATGAGTGGAGATAAATCTTGGTGCGTAGTAAAATGATAATATTTGCTTTGATGGCCTGAAGAACAATAATGAGATTTCTCTAAAGTTTATATACATATATATGAGACTTAAATGTTTGATTTTTTTTAAAAAAAAATACAAGACCATAAAAAACCTGTATAAAAGATGAAAAGATAACTTTACTTACGGCGGTGAGGCACATAACTAGTGGCTGTCTTTTTCGGTCTTTCAGATTCAGACGATGGCCACTAACAATAAACTTAGTTAGATCAACGTTATTGGGCCACGTATTAACGTAATCGGATTATGACTTAGCGTGGCATTTTTTTTTAAATAAATTTTTTTATCTAAAAGTAGTATATTAGTTGATTACTACTGCTCATCAACTTCTTCCAAACGTCTTTCATCAGATGCTACCCCCGTTCTATTTACACATAATAATAAAGTTTATTAAATATATTTTATAATTTTATTTTTAAAAAAATTAAAAGTATCTTTCATTTAATATTTCATTTATAAAAATATTAAATAAAAAAAGTATACATGAGAAGAACACGTTGGAAAAGTATAATTAATTAGATATTATTTTTGTCAAAATGCTTGATATTTTAAAATGTTGAATCCTTTGCAAAAATATTTTATAAATTGAGACGAATGAATTGTTAAAGGTAATTTGTTCAATTTTTTTTAATGACTGTTTCCCTTAAATAAATTTTTATATTCAAACTCTTTTTAAATGAAGAAAAACATCGTCATTGTGAAAACTGTAGATCCATGTGATTCAATCCGTTTAATTTGCATTAGCCAAAGTTTAATATTATTTTCGAAAATTTAAAACAATATATATAATATCCGAGTGCTTTTACTCGCTAAGTAGATCATGCTATAATTTAATATAGAGAATGAATCGAACAATTTTTTTCAAAGTTCAGACAAATTTTCTTTTAAAATACTATAAGAAGGATTAATGCATTACACGTGCGGTAAATATATAATATATTTGGGAGGGTGATAAAAAATGAATGGGAAGGAACATCAATTCATTGAACTAAACCACAGCTATAAAACAACATGAGAACATGAGGACTGATTCATTGTTCCATTTGATGTCTTCGTTAGGACTTAGGACCCACAACCACATCACCATTTTCTTGACTTTGCTATTATTGTCATCTTTTAAGGTAAAACATCCCAACCCCAAAAAAATTGCTATCAAATTTTCTTATTAGTTTTTAATGTGTAATTAATTTTTTTTTCAAAAATACCTCTTAATAGATAAATTATTCAATCATTTATCTTCAAGTGAAACACCTGCTAAACAAAAACAAACATGAAAAGATTATATCAATTTTAAAAAATTAATTAATTTATTAAGAATATAATTCAATTAAAAATTTCTTATATTTTTAAACTAATAGAGTACGTAACTAGTTTAAAAATATTCCTAAGAAATCAATTTGACTTTTCTTTGAAATTATTCATTTCCTCTTTCGAAATAATGCGATTGCAATAATTTCTATTAATGATTACACACTAATTCAGAATTAAATAGTCCAATTAAGACAGTTAATTCCAACCATTGTTTAGTATTGATAGGATTGAACCTTTCTACGGCAATGTTTTTCCATGGACCAGCGGTCTCTCCCTTTCTTTTTCTCTCTTTCCCTCCACTTCCCTCATCTCCCCCATTTAAATTTTTTTATTAAATAATTTTTTTAAATAAAAAAAATTAATGAATGGTAGGGATGGAAAAAGTAGAGGGAAATAGAGGAAAAAGAAGTGAAGAGACCCACTTCCCGTCTCTTTATGGTGATGTACTCACCATAATATTGATGTCCACGTCATTATATTTTGCAAATAAAAATATTTCTAATTAGAAACATTAAGATGAACCCCTTAATCCGAAATTATAAGGAATTTTTTGAGATATCTCATGTTTAAAAATGTAAAATATTTACTAGCAGGTTGTGTCTAATAAGAGAGGCTAATCACTCATAATCAATAAACGAATGTTTGAGTACCTGGTAAAAAAAAAAAAAACTCACACTTAATGCTTAACTGTGTTTCAAAATATATAAAATTAAAATTTTTGGTTTTTTTTACAAGTAAGTAATGAGATTTTTTTAAAAAATTCTCTTAAAAAATATTTAAATTTAATAAAAACTTTATATCTATGTGTGATTAGGTTACCTAATTAAATAATGATAGCTATAAAAAAACATGTAGTTTTAATGATGTTCATTGTTTTCTTGGGATGAAAATTAGTTAAAATAAAAATGCCATATAATTGAGAAGTTGATTTTTGTTGTAAACGCTTGACTTTGTTGTTGTTTTTTTCTTTTTTTAAGTTTGCTATAGTAGTTTCCAGTTTATTAAAAAAATAAAGGCCATATAATTTTGAACAAAGATGGAGGAAGTTGGATTTAGTTTGAAATAAAATGATTTATTTAATTGTTTTTATTCATTTTACAATATCAAAAATCATCTTGATTTATTTTTTATTTATATATTTTAACGAAAAAATGATAATTATTGACATGCACTTTTATAATGAAAGGTCACTTATTATTATTATGAACTTGTGAAGAAAATATTTAACTTCATTGATTAGTAAATTATGCAATCAATTATTTGAAGAATTGATATATTTACGCCATCCGAGCTATTCTTAAATCATAAAAATAAGATGAGATAAAAATAGTAATTTAAAATTTCTAATAGAACAAATAAATTATAAACATATTTTAGATATTAAATATTATTCTTTAAGTTTTTTTTTTTCTTTTTAGTAAGTGTGGTAAAGAGATTAATGATCTGGTATAATATAATATAAATATATATAAACTATAAACATTGAAAAAGGTGCTTCTTTATCGCATGGGAAAGCGACTCCTCCAACGTGCATTTCCCTCAATCACAAGCATACGAGTGGATAACAATTGAGTGATTGACCCCAAAAGCACCGTTTTAATATTTTATCCAATAGTAATTAAATTAAAGTTAATTATTTATGTTAAAAAAAGGAAAGAAATATTTGATAACAACTACTTGAAGCACACGCAAACTCAACAATCCTACTCCTTCAAGGAAAAGTTGAGTGATTCCTAACAATGATTTTGGCTTTATATGATTGTTCTGTGTCACAAGCCTTGCCACAAAACTATATTTATAAAGTCACAAAATAATATCACCAAAGAAAAGGAAAAAAAAATTATAAAAAAAGCTATTATTATTACTATTGCTATTACAGTTAAAAAGGAATAATTAATTAGCAATATTTGGGTAAATGATGATCAATGATCAAGCTTTGTTTTGTGGGTTGGGTTCGCTTGTTTTTTTTTTTTTCCGGATGGAATTTATTTTGAGATATTTTAAGATATAATTGATTGATTATGAATTAGATTATGATTTTCAGCAATTAAAAAAAAAAAAGAGAAGGAAAGCCTGGAGATATATTTATTTATTTTCAAGGGCATTTTGGCTTTTGGTTTACACAACGAGTTCCTTCATTAAATAAGCGAGTTGAAGTCAGCCTATACGTACAAGGCCCTGCGGAAGGGTGAGAGAGAGAGAGAGAGCGAGAGAGAGAGAGAGGGGCGCGGGGAAGAGAACCCTAATTCGCTCACTTATCATTTTGTTCATATCGAATCGATATCAAAATTTCACCCCAATTTTGAAGAATACGATTTCTGAATTTCACAACCTAGTTTTTGCCCCTTTCTGTTGCTGCTGTTTTTGGGAGAGATAAGCTCGGAGAATTTCGCAGAACTGCTTTTGAAGTTGATTGTGAACCAGAAGATGGTAACCAAATAAATTGTCTGTCAGCAAAGCATTCTGTGTTAGACGTGGAGTATTATCTCCGTGTAGCACAAGAACACAACGTCAAGGTGGAGGTTTCGCCGCGATCTTCTTCTGTTCCGATCTTTGGCCAAGTTCGGGTTTACTGAAACGTGCCGCTTTGAAACGGTATGTTTCTTTTCCTGGATTCGTTGTTTTCTTTGTTACTTTTAGTTTTATGTTTGAATTTCGATTCTTACCCGAATGTGCTTCCCCATCCCCTTTCTGTTTCTGGGGGGAAAAAAGTTACTTGCCGAGTTTCGAGGGTTTTTGTACCAAAAAGTCTGTAGTTACCTGGGTATTTGTCTTAGCTAAATTTTACATCTGAATTCTACGCTGAGTTTCTTGATAGATGTGGGGAAGATCTAATGCCCCCGTAGTGTTTGTTAGGATTCCATATGCTTTAGCAACTAGAGTATGCAGCTTAGAATTATAGCATATAGTTAAAATCCCCACCTGGCCAAATAAAAAAGGGAAAAAATAGTTTGAAGAAATTTGTTGAAGCAGCTTGAAATAACCGGCCAGGGTTAGTTAAAGTTCCAATCGCTTCTTGTTGGCAGGCCTTCTCTTTACGTCCAACAGCTTGAAATAACTGCCCAGTGTTTGGAGGAATTTGTTTTCTGTCAATGTGCTGATTTACGTCTTATCTATGTTTTGTCCCCTGATCTTATTACATGATCTTACCTTTTCAAATTTATTGTAGGCCGAGAGTTGTCCTGAGATGATTAGCGATCCCATTATAGAGATGTCTTCTTCATCTAAGTTCATCCCAATTGTCCGATCTGGTAGCCATGCTGATATTGGACCGCGGGGATCTATGGATGATGAACACATTCAAATAGATGATCTGGCCTCCCATCTTGGACTTGTGTTCAAGTCTCCAATACCAAGTGCATTTTATGCAGTTTTTGACGGTCATGGTGGACCTGATGCAGCCTATTTTGTTAAGAGGAATGCTATGAGACTATTTTTTGAAGATTCTAACTTGCTTCTGTCATATGATACTGATGCTTTATTTCTGAAGAAATTGGAGGATTCCCATCGGAAAGCTTTCTTACGTGCAGACCTTGCCTTGGCTAACGAAGCAACTGTTAGTAGTAACTGTGGGACAACAGCATTGACTGCGCTTATACTTGGAAGTCATTTGCTGGTTGCAAATGCTGGTGATTGTCGAGCAGTTCTTTGCAAAAGAGGAGTGGCTGTTGACATGTCTCAAGATCATAGACCTAGTTACTTACCAGAAAAGAGAAGAGTGGAAGCGTCAGGTGGCTTCATTGATGATGGCTATCTCAATGGTTATCTGTCTGTGACCAGGGCCCTTGGGGATTGGGATTTAAAACCACTTGGTTCTGCTTCACCCCTTATTGCTGATCCAGATGTTCTACAGGTTTCATTGACTGAGAATGATGAGTTTTTGATCATTGGGTGTGATGGGCTTTGGGATGTCATGTCAAGTCAGGATGCTGTTAGTTTTGTCCGCCGGAGGTTAAGAAGGCATGATGATCCACAGCAATGTGCTAGAGAGCTAGTCAAGGAAGCACTGCGCTTGAATACATCAGATAATCTCACTGTGATTGTTATATGCTTGTCCTCCATTGAAAGCATAGTTGAATCATGTCCACCTCAGAGGCGAAGATTCAGAGCTTGCTGACGTGCTGTTTCAGGGGGCTAGAGAAAAAGCAGCCAGCAGTTTTGCAGAGATAGATGACGACTATGATGGGGTTAGAACTATTTGATTAGGAGAACTTTTCTAGGTTATCTTGGTATAGATGGAAGCAATTGTAGCTAGGTGTAACCGATTGGTGATTGATCTCTGCTATGTGGATTTAATTCTTCATTGTTATTTCTGTGAATAAGAGTAAAGATTCATGCTTCTCCGGTCTTTTTTGGGCCAACTTATTTCTCCAGTCTTGTGAATACTTAGAGAGCTTTTACTTCTTAAAACCTCTTATGTTTTTAAATTTATCCAGACAAATGAGACTGAGATAGAATCTGTCATTGTGCATAAGTTATGTGAGATGTACTGCATGTTCGAAATATATTGTCAAGCAATCATGCCTGATCAGATTTGTTCCTGAAGTTAGTAATATGGGTTAAATTGGGGGCCCAACTTGCTAACATGCAGAAATGTGGCGAGTTAGGTTGGAAAAAATCAATTCATTTAAATGTGAGGTGGCTTTGGCCTTCTCCCACATAACTTTATTTTGTATCAGACTAACTTACAGGTTGGCAGGTTAATCTGTTTAATTTTTTTTTTTTAAGAAGGATAAAAGGTAAGTTGAGAAGAGAAGCTTTCGCTTGCCTAGTCAACAATCACTCTTGACTTAATTAAATTTTAAAATTAGTTTTATTGAATTATCTCAAATTCAAAGTATGTAAGCTAGTAAGTCAAAGGATCAAATTTTAAAAGAGCTGTAAAGCTAACATCAATAGAACAGGTTTTAAAATTGATTTTCAAGTTCATAAAATATGCTAAAATTTTTATATACCTCCGATGAATTGAAAGTAAATTTATAAATGAGTCGTATCATTTATTACTTATGAGTGTTGGTGTAGTTTATTATATCTTTTGCTATATTAAATAATATTATTATTAATTGTATAAAAAAGAATAATGAAATTAACAGTTGGACAAAAAATCAATGAAACTATGCAATAATAACATATTAATAAGGGACAATAATAATAAGATTTATCTGAATTATATAAATGATAATTTAATCCTTTAAAATGTTATAATATCAATAAAGTCCTTAGGGACCTCTCTTTTTTAGAAAAAAAATCATTTTATCTTTGTTGATAACTCATAATTTTTTGTTTAATTCTTGCGATTCCTTAAAAAAAAGTTATAATTCTTTAAATAAAAGTTATGAATAGAGTTTGTTATTTTGAAAACTTATTTTTCAATAATAAAAACTATACTTAATAGATTGTGATTTTTTATTTAATTTTTGCAACTCACATAACAAAAGTTGTTATTCTTTAAATAAAAATTATGATTGGGGCTTGTTTTTTAATGACAGAAATTAAACTTGACATGTGATTTCTTAGTTAATTATTACGATTTACAAAACAAAAATTATAATTTCTCAAACAAAAGTTATGATTTGGTCTTGTTATTTTTAGTAAGGGTAAAATAATTTTTTCCTAAAAAAAGTAATTGAGAAAGAAGTTCCTAGGGACTTCATTGGTATTATGATATTTTGAGAGATCAAATTATTATTTACATAATTCAAAAGAATTTTATTATCATTTTTTCTAATAATAATGTTTATATTTTTATGGTTGAAATTTTTTTTAACTTATAACATGTGTAAAAATAACTTGAAAAAAAAAACTAAAGCATATATGGAGCACCGAACATTATCTAGTTATACAATTCCATGGTTTAAAAGATATAAAATTTAATTTTTTTAACAAAATTGGATTAAATTATTATGCATGTTTTGATTATAAAATAGATATATATTGACATGACAAATTATCTCTAACTAAATTGCAGGTTATGTGATCATCACAAAATATAAAGTGTCCTAAGGAAAATTTGTTGCATGTTTTGATGACCTCTAATAGTTGCTGCTGCAAAGTCTTTTCATTTAAAATTTGTGTTGTGTTTTTTTATGATTTAGAAGCATGTTATTCAGATAATTAGTTTTTTAAGAAAAAAATGATTTTTACTATAAAAAAATAATAAAAAGAGATAAATTTATAATTTTTAAAATTAAAAAAATTATAGAAAAATTGTTTTACTGGCAGGCTGGCATTACAATTTATATGAGTTGGTAAAAATAGAACCCATCAAGATGTGAGGTTATGCCAACTCATCTTGTCAAGCTCACAATCTACCGTGAGCCAACTTGCAACTTACAGGTTAACTCATATTACTTACACTGTTCATTCCATGTTACAAGTGATCAAGTTTGGACAAGAATTAGACACGGCCAGTTAAGAATTGACGGAGATGAAGATGATGCATCTATCGGCCAGTATTGTTATTTGAGGAAGTTGAATGGGAGGCAATGCTTCCTGTTCTTTTTTTCTTTTTGGCCAAGAATGCTTCTTGTTCACTCAGACATCTCCAATCATTAAAGGCTACCTTAAAGTATCTATATTACTTTAATAGATAAATTAATAAGTGAAGTAAGACAATAAATAATTAAAATAAAAAAATTGTGATGTTAATTTAAATGAGAGATAATTTTATTATTTTTTAAAAAAATTTAATATCAAATTAATATTCTTAAACTACAGTGTAATTTTAAAAATTTAAAGATTTTAAATTTAAATAAATGTAATTAAGAGATCTCTATTAAAATTTTTCGATAAGACAAAGGAATCTAATTATCTCATTACAGGCTTGCACCAAATGCGTGTTGGTTGTTGTGTCAAACCAACTCCCTCCAGGGCCGTACCCACATCGAACGTTGAGGGGGTAATTACCCCCAATTAAAAACCAAAAGTTACATTTGATTTTCAGTTAAAATTACATTTGCCCCTCTAAAATTACAATTATCCCCTTAAAAATTCAATTATCTTACTCTCTTTAAAATTATCAAATATACATACTTAAAAATATTCTTTACTCTTATATTTATTATAAAAATAAATTTATGAAACTAATATATATTTTTAAACTTTTCATATAATTTATTTATATATTACTTTAATTAATATTTAGAATTATATTTTCTTTAAAAATGTCAAAATTTACACTTAGCTTAAATATTGCCTCCTCTGATTTTTCTGAATCCGTCACGGACTCCCCAGACATTACAAAGATAAAATATATCATCTAAAAGTTGACCTAAAACCAAATTGGCTGGATTGAAATCCAAAAAAGGCCTTGGTCGAAATAAAAGAAAAATCAGGGGTCGAAAAAGGAAGCCCACCAAAAACCAATAAAACAAACAATTTTCCATCCACAAAAGAAAGAACCAATTCTACCAAAAGAGATTAAAAAAAAAAAAAAACAAAGAGATTCATATCCAATTAGCAAAATAATAAGCCGAAGTGGATAAGCATTAAGCAATGAAGAATGGCGGCAGTAGAAGTCCTATAAACACATTGAACCCTCACTTTTCTATATTCTCAATTTAACCCCTTCAATATTTTATTTCTTTAAGAAAGCCCCAAGGAAGCATAGGTCTCTTCCGTCACTTATCCTAAAATGTCTTGTCTATCTCCACTTTAAATTAGATCCATTATAAAAACTAATTGCTCAAAAGAAATCCAATGAAACCTGCTAATTTAAAATTTTATCCCTAACCAAAAAAAAAAAAAAGGAAACACATGTGCCAATGTACATACACAACTATGTTTACATTGAGTTCACACTTAAGACATTTTCTCAACAAAAAAAAAAAAAGATGGCATTATTGCTAGAACAACTAACCGCTAACAATGAAATCGAAAGCACTAACATGAATATCCAGGTGGCCTTATACACGTAATTACAAAACTACCCTTATAGAAAGTGCAACATATGAACATGTTTTCTTAATTTTTTACATTGTAGTGATGCATATTAGCCTATTACGGTGCTTTTTAGAGGTCATGCTCATGCCTAACAACCGACAAGAAATGAACAAAAATTTATAAATATCAACATTCAAATGTTCATATTTCTTTTTATTTTTAAAAAATAAGAATAAATTAGTTTTCTTCCTTTATTTTTTCATTCCTCCCAGAATGATCATGATTATTGAATGCACATATGACTTGTCTAAATTTAAAATCATACAAAACTACCGAAATGGTTAAGTAGAGGTGGCTAGATTTTATTTTGTTTGAATTGGATGTTCAAAACTTGAAACGGAAAAAATTATATTAGAAAAAGTGAAAAACTATCCAATTAGGCAAATATCTATATATTTCAAGACAAACCCACTTTTATGCAACTTTTCATATATACTCATGCCCTCCTAGTTTATAAGATAGTTTTAGACAAAATTATATATATATATATATATATATCAATAAAACTATTAAATACAATTTACAATTTAATTTTTTTAAAATAAAGTATAAGTTTCTAAAGATATCCTTGACTCAATAATTTTAAAGAGAGGAAGGGAATATAATAAGGAGGGAAGGATAATGTTAAAAAAACTGTATTTTATAAAAAAAGTTAAATGGTAAAAACATCTATAAATTTTTTCTTCAAAGGCATCAATATCATTAAGTAAAGAAAGATGCAAAATACTTATAATTCTGATTTAACAGGTGCAATAGTCCCCAAATCGTTAAAGAAGCTAAATTTCCATTACATCCTTCCACCATCATTGCCACATGTCACCAGATGTTGCCTTGAAGAAGCAATGCTAGAAGATATGCATCTGAAAAAGTGAAACAACCTTTAAATACCAATCAAGATCATAGAGCCGGGACATGACAAGGGAAAGAGAAAAGATTTGGGATGGAATGAACAGGGTTGTGAAATCTCAAACTTGAAAAATGTGAGTTTGGAGAGAGGCCTAGACTTTGAGAGGCAAGGGAAAAGTAGACAAAGCTCGAAAACAATGAAGCTTGAGCGGATGTCGAAGCTAGAGTGGAGATGGAGACTAGACAGGAGACGTCAAAGCTTGCAAGCAAGTGTGGGTGAAGACTTGCAGCGGCCAAATTGAAAGAAGAGAAGGAGAGAAAGAGATTGAGGTAAAATTAAAAACTGAAATAGAAAAGTGAAATATGAGATTTGAGCCTAAAACGAAAACAAATTCAGAACATTTAATCAGACTTGCAAGGTGATTACCCACCGGAAAATGAATACAGATGAGTAGATGCTTTATCGTTATCCTCGAAGGATCAATACTGGATGGATTCCACAATGGCTAGAACTTTCTCTAATACACAGAGCAGACTCGCACACATAGAAGGAGGCTACTCGGTTTCACAACCATAGCTCCTTCAAGGGTTAGATTACTTTCACTGTTATTGGATCCCTCAAATAAAAATTGGTTATCTTGTCGAGCCTTAGATGCAACTAGAAGAAAATGAAAGAGAAGGCGAAGGAGGAAACTGTCATGAACTCAAGTTAAATGGGAAAAAACAAGTATTATTAAATTTAGTATAGTAGCTACTGATAAGGCCAAGGCATTACAAAAGCACTAAGAAGCAATTACAAAAAGGGAAATACAGAGAAGAAGGTCCAGAAAAGGAAGAAAGCAAATAGAGAGAAAGGTTTGCAAAACAATCCACACCACATAGCTTCGTCCTCTTCCTTTTTATAGCTAAAGAGTTGCTCACACCATTCACACATTTCTTCTTTCACCCAATCTTTTCTTCTAACAAACTTTGCCACATCATCACTTAATATGTTCACACTCCATATCGTGACATTACTCCCCCCAGGGACTTTGACCTTGTCCTCAAGGTCAAAAGGTAGAGAAGAAGCATATAAACCAAGCAAAGTGTACCTTGTAGGCAGATCCAAACCATTCCAAGACGTTAAAATATAAGAGACTGAAAAATCTTGGAGTTGAATGCATAAGTTCTTTGCATCCTTGTCAAGTCCAATAGGAAAAATGACCATCAACTTTCTTGGAAGAGAGGGTACCCATTAGTATTTTCATCTTTAAGTGTGTTCCACTCTAACCTAGAGCATAGATAAGGGAGAGTAGCACCTAGAAAGCGTTTAAGCCTAAAAATCCAATCAACTAGGATGAATGTGTGACCCATGTCAAACACTCGTGAGAATTTAGAGATATCAAGGGAGTTTGTGTACAGAATGACCCAATCATAATGAACAACACAAGTATAAGTGGCATAAAGATGACTAGTTTAGTTTGATGAATCAACATAAAGATGACTTATAGCACCAGATTCCATCAACATGTCGAAAATAGATGTAATTCTAAGGTCAAAAACCAATAATAAGAAACATAAAAGTAACATTGAAGCAACTTCTCCCCAAGATAAAATGTTACCAAGGCCCACATTGCATATGAACTTGAGCTTAAATGGTGCATGAAAATGACAAATTTTACTAGATGATACAGCATAAGGATGGCTTACAATTCCTAGTTCCATTAACATGTAGAAATTGGCTGGGACATGAAACCCCCAAGAAGGTATCATATTGCTGAGCTTAGTCAAAGCTCATACTAAGAGTAACGTGTAAAAATGAGCTGAAGGAAGAACCGAGACTATTAAATACAAATGCCCAACTCTCTCGGTAATTCCGGGATCAAAAATCCATGTAGAAAATAGAAGTATTTTTGAAGCAACTTCTGGCCAAGAATCAAGATAAAAGGGTACCAAGATCTGTGTTGCACATGTACTTGAGTTTAAATGGAAGTAACACAAACGCCATTTCAACCATCAAAATCAAGTGAAAAAACCCATGATAACATATTTGCAATGGTATAATTGCCGAAAAAACAATAGAGTAATAAGGATGCTTGGAGCGAGAACTAGCATGACATCTAAATCAATAATCCACTGCCAACATTGAAATTCAACTCTAGAAAAATGGAATAGAATAAAAGCCATATCCACAAAACAATAAAATTTGGCAATGCCACGGAGAGATCTTTTGTGCACAATCATCACTGTTATGAGATTGATGAAGCTATCAAAATGTATTTTTGTACCATTTCCAGAATAAGTCCCATACTCAAAAATTAATGAATTGCACAAAATGCAATATGGTTTAGCAATCCCAATAAAATTGCAACAGTGAAGGTTAATAGTAGGACTAGGATCAAATATTAGATTAACAATCAGACAAGTGAAAAACCATCGTCGTTTAATAAGAAACCTACTAAAAACAATCCCATACCATGAGAAATCTCCAGAATCATGATACTTAACCATAATGCCGGTAGACTACATCTCATTAGAAGAGGAAGAGAAATGTATATACTGGGATGATGGGATCGAATATAATAAAATGGATCAAGTGGTGAATAATCCTTTGATCATGCAACGAAGCTTGAAGAAGAAAGACATGGTCAGGGACATCACTGCGATCAAAACTGACTTCATTGTGAGCAAAAGTCTGAAGGTTTTCCTTCCATGGAGGAAAATAACTGGCAGAGACATCTCTATCAAGAATGAAAGAGAATTGTGATAGAACTAGAAACATTAGTGTAACTAAGATACGCACCTAAAGGAAGCTTCAGATAAATCGTCACTCGTGAGAACAACGACCTGATGACCACCAAACCCCCTTAGCTTGTTAACATCTCGGCGGCGAACTCCTTCTAGCATATCAAAATCATTTGCGGGTCCGAGCAGGTGCAATAGGTCAATAGAGGCCCTAATTGTGCTGGGATTACTTCGGCCCAAAATGAAATGGTGGTGTCAATTGGAAGAGGCAACATGGAGGCGTCGGAGGCCCATCCTTCTGCTTAATGGTTGCTCTTCAAAATTCATCAATCTTAGGTGCTACAACAGAGCTTATGATAGCAAAATTAATAGATTGTGCGATAGTATAATCACCAACGGTTACCTCAAGGGTGGAATCAGTCGTCACTTTGTTCAAAGAGTGGTTGCATCTAAATATTTGTGGGTAAAGGAACTTAAATCTCAATGAAATACCAAGGAAAGGGCTGAACTACGAAGCTTGAAGTCTAAGGAGATGGACATTTAACAGCTAATCCTAGATGATTCATCATCTCTGTAAGTCTAACCTCAATACAGTCGAGTCTAGAAGATTCATACTGATTCCTTGCTGCAATTATATCCCCTAGCCGGTCGAGACGAGGAAGATCAATTTGATGTCGACCTTGCTCTATGGAAGTCAGAGGTCTTGTTTCCTCATTGGACTTGAGGATGGTGCTCGATTTAGAACTCAATTGATTCCATTCTGGTAATCATATGATTCCTACTTGCCTTCATATGAGAAGAGCATTGTTTTATTGTAGTAGTCAATTCTTTAATTGCAACTTGGATCGCCCAGTTCATCTTCAACAAAATCGTCACCCATTGCGGAAGGAGAGTCTCTCAATGAAAGCACCTTTGTCACAAACTCAAGTTAAATGGGGCAACACAAGTATTATTAAATTCAGTATGGTAACTACTAATAAGGCCAAGGCATTATAGAAGCATTAAGAAGCAATACAGAAAAGGGGAAATATAAAAGAAAGGGCAGAAAAGGAAAAAAAGCAAACAGAGAGAAAGGTTCGCAAAATAATCCAACCACATAGCTTCGTCCTCTTCCTTTTCATAGTTAAAGAGTTGCTCACACCATTCACACATTTCTTCTCTCACCCAATAATTTCTTCTAACAAACTTTGTCACATAATCACTTAATATGTCCACAATCCATATCGTGATAGAAACCAAGTGTCAATGATGATGATGAAGCCATCAAGTTTTAGATGCTTGTGAGGAGACTCATTAAGGAGAAGGAGCACTATTTTGAATACCCGTGAGATAAGCTTTTTGACTTAGCAAAATAAATGCCAACAAGGAGTCCATGTTGGCAAAATTAGTCAACTATTAACTTACATGTCCAGTTTGATAGTCAACATTGAGCTCCTTAATTATTTGAGGATAGGCCCATTAAATCAATGTTATGGGTACTTTTGCACCCTTCTTCATTTAATAATGTTGGCTATCCTTAGAGGACAAGTTTATGAATATTTTTGCTCTTTAATCCTTAATAGAATCTTATTTTTATTAAATTGTCTTATATTTTAGGACATTAAATCATCTTCAAAGTAATTTTATAAATTGGGATGGTGTGAGTTATTATTAAAACAAATGAGCAATATTATTATAACTTTTAAGATTATACTTTAGAAATTATTAACTTTTAGATATTGAATATAAAAAATTCTTTTTTTAAAAAAGACAATTTATTTAAACCATTAAAAGGTCTATACAAACAAGAGGGCCCATCAAAAAGATCAATTAGACCCAACTACAACAAAGACATAATATAATAGAAACATTAAAAAAACAGGCCCTCAACAACTTGATTCAACATGGATACACCAACATGTAAAGCCATATTGCCATTAAGATGAAATAGGAGATCAACCACCTTGAATGCATCAAATGCAAGGATAGGTCAACGCCATCTCTAAAGGGAAGGGTACCAAAAAGGTACAAACTAGAGAATGGTTTGTTCTCGAATAGAAGGCTTAAAAGCCAAATACCAGTAGTGAGCATATGACATCCCAAAGAAGTCATTGGTCTACACATTTATGACATCAGTTGAAAACAACACCAAGGACCTTGAACAATAAACTTGCAAGAAACAAAGAACAACAGCAAGCTTGAGTAGCCTGATCAAAAAGCAAGGGTTGTGATACTACCTGTTTCACAACCCCTTGACAACTAAGATGCTAAGGTGCTGCATGGCTGACAAGCTTACAAAACCCAGCTCTAGCCCTAAATTTGAAACATCTAGAAGATTCATATCATCACTCTACTCCATCTTACGCTTATGATTAGCTCCAACGAGACTAGGCCTAACAGTAGATGATAAGGATCCCGTAGAAACAAACCCACTAGCAAAAGCACCATTCTTTTTTTGAGACAAATAAAAAAGTTTAAGGAAAGTAGGAATGTCTATGGCACAAGTCCTATACACTTGAGTAGTAGAGAAACCAACACAATGCAACTTATGTTAACATCTCAGCACCAAAGAAGACCATAAACAATAAAATAGAGGAAAAACCACAATGACAACACCTGAACACTCAGAAGAACCTAATTGCATTGTAAAAGAATGAGCCTTCTTAAGATGTTTAGTAGACCGATACATTGTATCAAAGCCAAATGATAACTCCAAATAATCACAGCTCTTCCTTTTAATGGTGGCAACACAGGGACTCACCAGCAAATATAGGTCACACATATCAACACGTAATAGAAGCTTTTATGGTAGATGATTATAAACAAGAATTATGTGATAGACCCGATAAATTGAGTTTACAAGTAAGCATAATGCTAATACTACCCTACTTCTTATAACTGGGCCAATAAAAGTCACCATAACGACTTGAAGCGACCTAAGAAAGAAGCTCGGACCCAAAAACAATGTAACCAACTTCATGCAACAATGTAAAGAATGGTTGACATGCAAACAAGAAGAACAGAGACAACCAACATGCTCAAGGAAAATCGACACACGAATAGGAAGACCATTATGAGTAAACATAACAAGTGAAAGAGGTAATGTAATAGCCCTCTAGGTCACCCTACCTTCCCGAGGTCTTTTCCCAGCGCTGGACACTCTCCCTCCGGCCCCACAACAAGACAACCCCACCCCTTTCGGTGAGCATCAGGAGACAAAGGCTTCCCCGCAGTAGTGTGCAGGATTATTCCCCTTGTGGAGAGCCTCCCCAGGTTCGATCCTCCAACCTCTCCTACATAACAAAGTTGAGACTGAACCTGATACCATTGAACCACTCCTGATGCTCACCGAAAGGGGTGGGGTCGTCCTGTTGTAAGGCCTGGTGGGAGAGTATCCAGCACTGGGAAAAGACCTCGGGAAGGCGGGGTGACTCAGAGGGCTGTTACATTAAAAGGCATGTAGAAAATTTAAGATTTGGAAGAGGGATAATTTATGTTGAATAAATATGATTTTTGAGGTTGTTAGTAGTATAATAAATGTTCTAGAGTACAAATTTGTTGATGATCTTTGAATTTGTGGCTTATAGATCAAATTCTAAACTAAATTTGAAAATATATGTTGATTTATTGAGGTTTAGATGATTATTTGGGATGAGAAATGAATTATTATAGCTATAGGATTATAATTTTAAGCTAGAGACTCAATTTTTAATTTTTGGATATTTTAGGTGCGAATTTATAAAATAAAAAGAAAATTTTGATAATAGAAATTAGTTTAAAATTTAATTTTTAGATTATTAATGTTTATTGATGAGTAAAAAAGGAGTTAAAAATTTTACTTAATACTATTAACTCTAAATTTGTATTAAGATTGAGATTAGAAATTATGTTATATTTTTTTAATTCTATTATTAGAATTATTTTATTAGTTTCAATAATTGAAACTAATATTTATAAATAATATGTTATTTGTAGATTGTGTTATTGGTGAAGATTGTGGTGGGAGAGAAATTGTAATTTATTGAAAAAGTCACAAGGTAACCATGCTTTTAATTTGTGATTAGTGTTACTTCATGTTAATGGGTGATTATTGAGAAAATTATAAATTTTGTAATATCGTATAATTGTGTAATATTATTATGAATTTGTTTGATTATTATGGGAGGTGTTGGGAGACTTGCTATTGTTGTTGTATTTATGTGCCACGTGGTACGTCCCTATTGGAGCTCAATAGGTGGCTTGTAAGGGCTCGGGCTAATCTACCTTTGGTCGGGTAATTTAGCACCGAGTGAGGGTTACGGCTCGAGGTTAATGGAGGGATATAAGGATGGTTGTTTGTGTATATTATAATATTTCTTATATTTTATTAGAATTATATTATTTTTGATTTCCACTTAGTAAGCACACACTTAACTATTTGTACAAACTATCATAAATTGGCTTTGGTTACTGGGACTTTTGAGTCTTATTATGTGGTTAACAATTTTCAGAAGAAGAGTCACGAGTGACACGTGGAGGAGTTCCAGAGACTTAGTAGCATAGATCCACTGTCTCTTTTAGGTATTTGATTTATGATTTATAATGTGTTATATTGCCAATATTAGGGCTTTTTATTTATTAACAATTATATATAAATGTAATCATGTCTTTCAAACTATTTCTATTTTTTGGTACAATTTAGATGACTGTAATTTTAATATTTGATTTACTTTAGATTGGTTAAAATGGCATGATTATGAGGCCAAATAACTGGCTTGTGTTGAAAATTGACTAAATTATTTATTTTTCTTGTTGGGAGTATAAGGATGGACAAATGTGATTTAGCCTAATGGCATGTGGGGGGTAAAAATTTATCTGAAATGTTATATTGTGTGAGTTGAAGTCAATTATAAAATATTTAATATTAAAATTATTGATATAAAAATGTATTGGGTGGTTATAACCTAACTATAGTTGAGTTAAATTATTTTAAAAAAAATTAGTGTGTTACAGGTAAAGCCGAAAGACATGAAATGAAAACTTTAAGATGAAGACCCACATTAGAATAAAGACACGATTCATCAAAAAAAATAAAAGATCCCAACTTGTTGCCAATGAAAGAAGCCATAGGTTGAGTATTAACAAGTAAGAGGAAGATCAATATGTGATACCAAACACTAAAATAAGGAAAAGACTGAAAGGAGAAAGGAAAAGATTCAACCTAAGGATAAACAGCAAGCGTAAACTCTGAGAGCAACCAAACACCTTGCTCCAAAATAAAAGAAAGATAGGTAGATGGGGGCCAAAATGAAAAAACTCATGAATGTAGGGGGTCAAAATTAATTTTCTCATTTTTTCAAGTAAAAAGCAAGAAAATTTATCGAAATATTTGTGACATTGGGGACAAGTGAGGATTCATCCCTGACCTTAATGCTGAACAATTTTCACAGAACTATGAAGCTTCCAATAAACATGAAACAAAGCTTAAGGCTTGGAAGCATGAAGAACTTGCAAATCCAAAAGCTTAAAAAAGAAAAAAAAAAAAAGAAAATGATGTTTACAGTACGAAACGTGCGACTTGCAAGAATGAGGAAGAAGCATACTACATACTTCTTCCATTCCCATTTGTAAATGATATTTTAAAAAGTTTATTTACTCTCATTTATAAATTACATTGTGATTTTAGGTAATATTTAAAAATTATTTTTAAAATTATCCTTCATGAAGAAAAAAAATAATATGACATCATTTTTTTAAAATTTGTTACATAAGAACATATTTAAAATTTTATACATGTTTATTCCTTTTACTTTTTTGTATTGATATTGATGAAATAAATAAAAATGATTTAAAAAAAACTGAATAAATATTTAAGAGTGAAAAAGAAATCAACTGAAACAGGCAAGCCAAAAAGACTCTAACACAAAGCACAAACAAAAAAAGAGATACCATATTTGATAATCATCCTCTATAAAAAAAATATTAAGAAAATTAGGACGTTTGAAATAAAAAATTTGACTTGATATGCTAGCACATCAAGCATCTCAAAATAATTTAG